GGTGGATTGTTAGTGAATAAAAGGAGCAGACGCCCCCTTTGCGCTGTTAATTGCCAATCTTTTTCTCTTTTCTCTCGCGGATACTCTCTCTAACACACAGGACTCTAACAAACTGGTATCAGAGCCGGCAATCATGGCGGCACCGCCGGGAGAACGACAAGCGATTGAGCGAGTTGCGAGTATGGATCGGAGACTAAACCACATGAATGAGACGGTTCAGCTTCTGGGGGCACTGGTTGATCCCGTACCGCGATTGCAGGAGGAGGTTACGACGTTAGGAGAACGGATAGACATGGTTCATGGTTCCGTTCAACGGATGGAGACCTTACTGGCTCGGCAGTTTGGAGCACCCAATCCCGGGGTCCCCGTCGAGGGCGGCGGACAGAATTTCGAGCAGGGTCGACGCCAGCGACGAGACTCCCCTGAGCAGCCACGAGCTCGCGACCACCGTGGTAGGAAGCTTGAACTCCCAATTTTTTCCGGTGAAGACCCATATGGGTGGCTATTCCGAGCTGAGCCGTACTTCGCCGTCAACGAGGTCGGCGAGGAAGAAATGGTGCTCGTGGCGTCCATTTGCATGGAAGGGAGGGCCTTGGGCTAGTTCCAGTGGGTGGAGGCCCAGGAACCATTCATGGGATGGAGGGACCTTCGGACGGCCATCCTCCATCGCTTCAGCCGGTCCGGGGAAGGGGACCCTACTGAGAGGTTGATGGCACTCCGGCAGAGCGGAACGGTAGCCGAGTTCCGAGATTCTTTTGAAGCGTTGGCGGCGCCGATGAGGGGCATTCCGGAATCGGTGTTCAAGGGAGCATTTCTCAACGGACTTCGAGAAGACATCAGGGCAGAGGTAAAATTACACAGGCTCATTAACTTGCAAGAAGTCATGGACTTGGCCCAACAAATTGAGGCACGGGATGATGCGGTGGAGAGGATGAAGAAGCTGAGATTGGGCCGGGGAAATAAGGGGGAGTACTTGGGCCAGCCAAGCTCAGGATGGCTGAACCCTAGTTCCTCTTTGGGCCCAGCAGAGAACCCCCTTCGATCCAATACCTACAGAGAGGGTGCCACGGCAGCCAAGGCCCGCACGTGGTCTTCTCCTTCGTCGCAGCACGCACCGAGTGGGGACTCCAAGTTCCGCCGCTTATCTGAAGAGGAAGTTCAACAGAGGAGAGCTAAGGGCCTATGCTTCCGATGCGACGAGCGTTTCAGTCCGGGACACCGCTGCAAGAACTGGCAGCTTCAAGTGCTCCTGGTGGTGGAGGATGGGACAGAGGAAGACGAGGAGTCCAGTGAGGAGGATGATTCGACACCGGTGCAAGGGGGAGGGGTGACAACCGAAGCAGCGGCGGTGTCTCTGAACTCGATGCGTGGATTGGTGTCCTCTAAGACCATGAAGCTGCGGGGCTTCTTGGGTTCGCGGGAGGTCATCGTCTTAATTGACAGTGGCGCCTGCCACAGTTTTATATCCTTGTCGTTGGTGGACGAATTGGCCATACCCACTGAAAAGACACCCAACCATGAGATTCAAGTGGGCAATGGAAGGACTTTTAGACAACAGGGGCGCTGTCGGAATGTAAGGCTGGAAATTCAAGGCCATGAATTGGTCGAGAATTTTTTTCCGTTTGAGTTAGGGAGCGCCGATGTCATCTTGGGCGTCACGTGGCTAGGCACGTTGGGCGAAGTCCGGGCCAACTGGTCGGAATTCACAATGAAGTTTAAAAAAGGGAGGGATTGGGTTCACTGGAAGGGCGATCCCGCCTTGTGCGTCACACCGGTAAGTTTTCGATCCTTGACTCGTTCATTTCATTCTACCGGGGTGGGGTTGCTGTTAGAACTACAATCCAGTTTGGCTGAAGAATTGACTGCGGAGGAAGAGCCTCTGGAACTACGGGCGGTACTCGCCCATTTTGAGGCAGTGTTTGGGGTTTCAACCCGGCTTCCGCCACAGCGTGCGCACGACCACCGTATTGTCCTCAAGGATCAGACCGCACTACCAAATATCCGTCCCTATCGATACCCGCAAATACAGAAGGCGGAGGTGGAAAAGTTGATAGATGAGATGTTGGCGGCAGGAATAGTTCGTCCAAGCTGCAGCCCATACTCCAGTCCGGTGTTGTTGGTCAGAAAAAAAGACGGGAGTTGGCGTTTTTGTGTTGATTACCGCGCCCTTAACCAGGTTACAATCCCGGATAGATTTCCAATTCCGTTAATAGACGAACTAATGGATGAGTTGCACGGGGCTAAGATATTTTCCAAGTTAGACCTACAGGCTGGCTACCACCAGATACGGGTTCGCGACTGTGATGTGGAAAAAACGGCATTCAGGACTCATGAGGGGCATTACGAGTTTCTCGTCATGCCCTTCGGCCTCACGAACGCTCCTGCCACATTTCAAGCCCTCATGAACTCGGTTTTCCGGCCCTACCTCCGCCGATTCGTTTTGGTTTTTTTTTATGACATTCTTATCTACAGTAAGAGTTGGGAGGAACACCAAGATCATTTGTCCGCAGTCTTGGAAGTCCTCGAGCGGGAACAGCTGTTTGCCAATCGCAAAAAGTGTGCCTTTGGCCGTCCGAGCTTGGAATACTTGGGGCACATCATCTCGGAAGAAGGAGTGGCAGCCGACCCTTCAAAAATCCAGGCCATAAGCACTTGGCCACCCCCTCGGACAATACGTGAACTTCGCGGATTCCTCGGCTTAGCGGGGTATTACCGTAGATTTGTGGTAGGGTTTGGAGAGCTAGCGCGTCCGCTGACTACATTGCTGAAGAGGGTGCCTTTAAATGGTAGGCGGAGGAAGACCAGGCGTTTGCCACACTAAAGGAGGCCATGTCATCCCTTCCGGTGTTGGCCATGCCCGATTTCTCAAAAGAATTTGTGGTAGAGACGGATGCATCGGGCTATGGAGTGGGCGCCGTTCTTATGCAAGAGGGCCGCCCTTTGGCTTATTTCAGTAAGGTAATGACTTCCACTTTCTGTTTAAAATCGGCTTACGAAAGGGAACTGATGGCCGTGGTGTTAGCCATACAAAAGTGGCGCCATTTTCTTCTTGGAAGGCACTTTGTGGTGAGAAGTGACCAGCAAAGCTTACGATACTTGTTGGACCAGCGACTACTTCCTCCGGAGCAACTTAGATGGATTACCAAAATCTTGGGATATGACTTTGAGGTGCAGTACAAGCAGGGGGCTGCCAACCAGGTAGCTGATGCCCTCTCCCGCCGGGATGCGGAGGACCAACCGAGCTTATCGGCTCTCTCTCTGCCTCAGTTGCTGGATTTCTCTGAAGTTCAGCGGGGACAAAAGGTTGACGTTTCTCTAGCCGACCTCATGACGCGGTTGCAGACCAACCAGGACGTTCCGACAGGCTACAAGCTGCACAATGGGACCCTTTTCTTCAAAGATAGGTTGGATTTGCCAGACTCCCCGTGGATTGGTACGGTCTTGCACGAGCTTCACAACTCGGTGATCGGCGGGCATTCGGGGTTCTATAGGACGTATAAGCGGATAGCGGCCAGTGTGTATTGGAAGGGCATGAAGCAAGCCATTCGGACATACGTCGCACAATGTGAAATTTGCCAACATGCCAAGTACGAGACCCTGTCCCCCGCAGGCTTGTTGCAGCCTCTCCCCATCCCCGACAAGGTTTGGGACGATGTCTCTATGGACTTCATTGGTGGCCTGCCTAAGTCCCGCGGCATAGACACGGTCTTGGTGGTGGTTGACCGTCTAACCAAATACGCCCATTTCTGCCCCCTCGCACATCCATACACGGCTCGCCAAGTGGCGGAATTGTTTGCAGGGAGGTGGTTCGGCTCCATGGGTTCCCTCGCTCCATTGTGAGTGATCGTGACTCCCTCTTCATGAGTGGCTTCTGGCGAGAAATGTTCAGGATGCAGGGCACCAAGTTACACATGAGCACCGCCTACCACCCGCAATCCGATGGCCAAACCGAGGTAGTTAATCGCTGCCTGGAAACCTATATGTGGTGTTTCGCCTGTGACAAACCGCGACAGTGGCTGTCTTTTTTACCTTGGGCAGAATATTGGTTTAATACTACTTATAACGCTTCCTCCAAGTTTACTCCGTTTGAACTGGTGTATGGACGCCTCCCTCCGGTACTTTTATCGTTTTCAAGATACTCCTTCCGCGGTTGCAGATGTGGAAGAGAAGCTGCTACTCCTCAACCAGATGCTAGACACCCTCAAGGATCACTTATCGTTGGCTCAGCAGCGCATGAAGAAGTATGCGGATGCGCATCGTCGTGAGGTGACCTTTGCTCTAGGGGATCTAGTGCTCTTGAAGCTACGGCCTTACTTTATGAAGTCCCTGGCCCGACGTCCACATGAGAAGCTGGGGCCACGTTTTTATGGACCGTTTAGGGTACTCGAGCGCCTGGGTTCGGTGGCCTATCGACTGTAGCTGCCGCCCACAACACGTTAACGTTTTTCTTCTTTTGAAATTGCTTAGTTGTAATCAGCCATGGCCACTGAGTTTATGGTGGATTGTTAGTGAATAAAAGGAGCAAACGCCCCTTTGTGCTGTTAATTGCCAATCTTTTTCTCTTTTCTCTCGCGGATACTCTCTCTAACACGCAGGACTCTTAACACAATCTCGTTCAGATTTTTGTTTTTGTTTTTTTTGGGATTAATTACAAAAATTCCCCTAAACTATTAACTTTTCCCCAACGTTAACAAAAAATCTCCCTTTGTTAGATTTTCTAACTGAATGGACACATGTCATGTAAATATTTGATGTTGTTAAATGGTTAAGTACACAATTACTTCTCTACCCATCACACTTAATTTAACATTTTAACAACATAAAAGAAAATAAATGATAAAAAATAAACAAAACAATGAAAGAAAATTTACAAAATTTTTAATTTCTCTCTTTCGATTAATTAAGAACTTTTAAGAACATTTATAAAAGTTTTAACATTCTCAAAAAAAAAAAAAAAAAGTTAAAGAAAACAGAGAGAGATGGCATGGTAGATTTTAGTTATCCACCATCCCTCCCCCGCCGTTCGTCTGCACCCTCCTGACGCTTCCTGCCCTCTGTAATTCCATCACAAACAAGTGGGTCGCGAGACCCACCATTTGTCGCGACTCACCGGCGGGTCTCATGACCCATCGAGAAGTGGGTTGAGACCCATGCGATCCATGGATCTCCCTCGCTTTCGTAGCCGTTCACGGCGACCTGCGAAGCTCAGCTCAGATCTAGAAGGGAAGGGGGTTGTTGGGCGAACTCTTGGGGAAGATCTGATTTAACCAAAGGACGTTATTGGTCTGGAGGAGGACTGCGGCAACAGATGTTTGTGGAGGTGAGTTGCAATGTCTGATCTGAGGTGGGTGGCACTGCTGCAGGGGACGACAAGTATGGGTTGATGGTGCGGCTGCGGTGCGACATCAACGCCAAGGAGGAAAGGGAGTCATGGGCCAATCGACTAGGGTGGTGGGGAAGTTTTTGCTGCTGTGTCGTGAAAAAGATCTAATTTTTTTTATTTTTTTTTTATATGTTACATGTGGTTTAGAACTAAAAAAATTAGGAATTTTTTTTAAAGATTTAATCTTTGAGGTTATCAATATACCCTCAAATTATAAACATAAGTGAATATTCAGTTGGAGTTTTCAACGGAGGGGGGACTTTTTGTTAACAATTTATATTTATGGGAGAACGAATGTAATGTTTTGAAGATTAGGAGGCAAAGTGTTACACAAGTCATTATTCAGGGCGAATTTTTGTATTTGATTCTTTTTTTTTGGAATTTGAAAGACCATAATGTATTTTTATCTTCTCTCTTATTACTAGGACCAGTTTCTAGTTTCTGTACTTATTTTCATGACATTTATGCCATGTTATATTCCTTGCTTAGCATTAGGAATAGAGTGGCCCTCTTTTTTCCCTTTTCTTTTTCTGCAAGGAGGCGGTGGTCAGGTTCCCGTACGGGAAATAAAATTTATTTATACACACCCTCGCACACTTGTAGTGGTTGGGTTGTTCTTCCATTCAGTATATAATAGGTTAGGAAACAAGATTTTGATCAGACAATTTTCCACTGTTTTCTTATCTTGGGACTAGTGAAATTTACTTCTTGCAACTGACTAGGACAACTGGCCGTTAGGAATTTTACATGTTTTCCTCTGTTTCTCGAGTATTGGATGGCCGACTTTGTTGATCTGTATTATTTATAAGACCTATTGTGTTCATCAGCTGAAGGAAATGGGCGGAAGCAGTAGGCCTTCAGAATCTTTCAAGACAAATGAACAGTCTGCGGAGAAAAAGAAAGGCTTTGCAGATTGGATGAACTTGATAAAGCCTGCCAACGAGGAGAAAGATCATTGGGTAATTAGTTTTTTATTTGAAGGAAATGTATCCCCTCCTATTTATTGTCATATAGCAGTTTTTACCCGTGCTCTGTTGCTTATTCGTGTATTGCTTGTCTTAGGTCCCAGATGAAGCAGTTTCAAAGTGTACAGCATGTGGAACAGATTTCGGGGCTTTTTTGCGTAAGGTGTGTTTTATTCATGAATTATTAGCTTGAATTTCCTATTTGCGAGAACTGTTAAGTTGACCTTTGACTTTTATCGCATCTTCAGCATCATTGCCGAAACTGTGGAGACATTTTCTGTGACAAGTGTACCAGTGGCAGAATTGCTCTAACTGCAGATGAGAATGCTCAGCCTGTTCGTGTGTGTGATCGCTGCATGGTATGTGCCATTAGAGTTGTACTTAATTGTCAAGAAATAATGTCGGTTTCATATGTCTTGTTTTATAGGGAGAATTACGTGCCAATTCCTATAATTGTTAATTTGTCTGTCTGGTGAATACAATTAAATGGTTCGATAAATACAACTGCGTCACTTTCTTTATATAAAGACCAGCTTTCATAAAATTCTCTACCAATAAAAAGTGCCATTTAAGTTTCTAATAGACTTCTAAGTTATCTATTCCCTATTGGAGGTTTAATTTTGATTATGTTGTCAACTTGCTCTTATAGGCTGAAGTAACTCAGAGGCTGAGTAATGCCAAGGAAGCCGCAAATAAACCTGCGGGATTGCAGAGTCATGAGGATCTTGCTAGGAAGCTTCAGGTAGTACACACACACACACACACACACACACAGAGACAACGTTTTGCTGTCTATCTCGTAATGTTTCTGCTAGTATATTAAGATTTTTAATTATTATAAGCTTTTGACGTTTTCCCCTCTATATCATCCTCAAGAATGACTCATTTACCCTTACAAAAAAAAAGGATCGATTTAGTTACTTCTATGATGTGTTAAATTGGGAAAACTGGAATTTTTTTTAACTTGATTTTTTCGTGATAAAATATCTAAGCATGCCTGTGCGCATACATATCTGTCCATGCACGTTTTGATGGGTGATTGGCCTTTTGTGACAGGAGGAGATGGAAAAGAACCGCAAGTCATCTTCAGGTGAGTTTATTTGATAAAGAATAGGTTTTTCATGTCATTAGAGGAACATTTTTGTGATTTCTTGCTAACCAACTTAGCTAAGTGCTTGTTTACCTAGCTCATTTGGTGGTTGGCTCTTAGTTTCTATGCGAGAATCCTCTGGTTATATTTCTTTTAAATGAAATTTTTGTAGGATCGAAGTCCGACGGGTCTGGGAGGCGGATGAGAGAAGTTGCCTGTCCAATTTGCACCGTCCATTTACAGGTAAGAAGTCCTCGTATCTTATTCAGGAAAATTCACCATATGCGCTGTTATTCATGGAAAAGAAGAATAGAATACACACATTGTACTATAGAATTTTGCTATGGTTCTTACAGGTTCAAGTTCCCAGCTCGGGTTCGGAAACCATCGAATGTGGAGTTTGCCAGCACCCATTTCTTGTCAGTGCTCATTGATCTCTACATTTTTTTTAATGGCTTGAGGAAGGTCCCGAGTTGTTATTTACGGATTTTCCAGTTGAATTTGTTCTAGAGGTTTACATGCTCTTTACTAATAATTTGCTACGTATGCATATCATTTGCGTATCACCTCCCGTGGTTTGTTTTGACCTGATGGCAGTTGCTTCACATTTTTAGTGTGTAAATTAAGATTTTATTGGGAAGCCCCATCATCTGGGCCACCTTTTCTTTCTTTTAATGTAAATCGACTTATCTGTGGATATTATACATGTAAATTTGCTTACTTACTAATAACTTTTACTTGCTAACGATGTTCTAGATATTTAATAATCAGAAAATATTAATATTAGTAGTGTTGTGTAAAAAATGACGAGGAGCACTTGGGCAAAATATTTGTCCGCCTGTTTCTCTCGCTATCAATTATTTAGGTTCCGTTCATTTCACCGATTCGAGTTTTGTTACAGTAAAAAACTCTAAGAAACAGTCACATTTAATTTTTTTGTTACAGTAAAAAGCTTACATAAAGTCACATATAAACTCGAATTAAAAACTCGAATCAAGGGTTTTTATTTTCTCAGTTTATTGTAACAATGTGCTTTTGGAATCTTGGTGAAAGCGAGACAATTACTAGTGGTGATGTACCATAAATTTCCTTTTTCAATTTGAAATGTCGTTTAATGCTGTTACTTACTCTATGAAGTCTGTACACAGTTTTATCCTGAATAGTATTAGCTTTATGTCGATGGGTTGTAACATATAATAGGCATAAATTACTTATGTCTCAGTTTCGTCGAGATGCGTTTGGTAGATGGATTTAGAATCATGATTTTAGATCTTAATTCAGAATTAATATTTGTTTACAGTGATTCTGAATCATGATTCAGAATCAGTGTTTAGTTTGAATGATTTTAAATTGTGATTCAGAATATGATGTGATGTTTTAAATCAGAATCACTCGTGATTTTAAAATTATTTCCCTCTTGATTCAAGGTGATTCAAACTCTTGATTTTAAATCATGATTTCAAAATCATAATTTAAACTTAAAATCATGAATCATAATTTTGATTAGAATTATCTTAATTTAAATCTTCGTACCAAAAGAACTCTTGTTTTTTGCTTGAGAAGTGAAAGTTGACTTTTTCAGCATACGTTTGGAACATTTTTTTTAAAGAGCTTAATGAGTCATGGTTATTTTTATTATTTTTTTAATAATTAATAACAGTCTTAGAATGATGTTATAATGCCTTAACGAAATTTTAGTATAAGTTTCAAAATCTTTTAAAAATGCTTTTTTTAAAAGTCTCTTTTTGTGATTTTGACAGTTTTTCTGAAAATTAGAACCACTCGTCACAAATCATCCATTTTCAAGAGCAGTTTTTGAAAACTAGAACCACTTGTCACAAATCATCCATTTTCAAGAGCAGTTTTTGGACCTGGAGAGCTAAAACCAGTTTTTAAGCTCCCATAAACAATGTAGTTTGTTTGTGGGTCACCATTCGCGTAGTTGTATCAAAAGTTGAAGAGATCCTTCGTGATGAAAGGCTGAGTACCTTAGACTGTTACCATAAGAAAGCGTAATGCCGTATTTTAAAAGCATGGGAAAATGGGATACACGGAAATGGAATCTTGAGTAAAGGTGGCCATTGTCCTTCCCTGCCTCAGGCAATCAGTGAGCTGTTGCATTCACCGTCAATAGATGCAAATCGTACTTTCTTTCCCGAAGTGGATGCGAATTGAATAGGACTGTTGTTTGGTGGGGAATGGGGATACTCTTCTTTGTCGTTTGGGGTTTCTGGAGTTTTTTTTTTTATTTATTATTTTTTATTTTGAAGATGGCGTTTCAGGGGGTTTAATTCCTCTGGATTCATCCAATAGTGCTCTTTTCATGGTATCAGGCTCGTCTTGATTCATCCCATGACCCTTTTATTCAAGGGGCTAAATAAAGCATCTCATGACCACTGACCAACCTTCACATGCAAGACTTAATCATGCCCATTGATTTGGTATCCGTGATTCTGTTTCTTGACTGTTGATCAAGTTCACCTCGTGATTGAACCATGCCTTAATGGATTCTGTTTATTATTACCAACACATTTTATACGAAGCATAAATATATTTTTGTTTATCATGAAATATTTTGTTTTAAGTAATTTCGGAGCTTAGCTTACATGTCTTTTACTTTTCCAATTGGATCGATCTATTTGCAGATATTTACTTATCAAAATTGAAAAACAAAAGTTGGAAGTGAAAGTTAATCTAATATTTATTTGACTTTTTTATAATTTTAAAATAAAAATAGAATTGATGGATTCCGCTTAAATTTAATATTGAAAAATGAGATTAGAAAACATTAGGTATATTAGATAAACATGTCATAACAGACAATTCCCACTTTATGAGGAAGAAAAAGACTGAATTTCCGTGCCTTTAATAGTTGATATTCATCAATTCCTTTAGTTCGGTAGTTTCTCGGCTGGGGACCTTCTGTGGACTTGCATGAGTAGCTGGACGGTGGAATTTAAAGCCGTCAACCACTTTCCACTTTTCTTGGGATGTCATTTCTCATAACTCTCTGCGCATTCTGATTTCTAGTGTACAAATTTATTTGACGCGGGTCACGTAGATTTCTAGTCGTTGAAAAGTGGACACTTGTAAATTGCAATTTGCATATGCCAAAGCCACAGGAACACAGTATAAAGTTTGTCCTTGTCGTTTTTCTGCCAGACCACTTTCTCCTTGTTCATAGGTATTAGTGCTTGGCACGGGAACTTTCCCGGCCGGAACTTTTGGATTTTCTGAAAAATTACGGTTTAATTTATAAAAATAGGCCAAAATTTTTAACAGGTTTTTAATAATTTGAACTGATGGTTTAAAAGTTATAACTAAAAATTGTTATTATTCTTACATACCTAGAACAATTCTCTTGTATATATATTTTTTTTCTTTTTACTTTTTTTTTTGGGTTGAAGAAGAATAGCATATCGGTTTGTGAAAATTAAAAAATAAAGGAAATTATAGAACATAGACTAACTAACAAAATAAGGGAAATTATAGAACATAGGCCTACCTTGTTAGTAAATAGTCAATTTACTAATAAATAAGTTATTTTATGTTTTAAATTTTTCATTTTTCATTCTATTTTTTTCCTTTATTTCGTCTTTCCCTCTCAATCTCATTTTCTCTCCTCTCTTCATCTCACGTTCATGGGCCTTCTCTTCTCTCTCTCATCGCCTCTTTCTCTCTTATTGCCACTCGTTCTTTCTTCCAATCACAGTTGCCGGAGATCACGAATTACATTATTCAAGGTGTAGGCGATATAAGTTGACATTAATTTTTAAAAGATACGTAATGTGACTAAGTCTGTTAGTGGATTATATTTACTTTACTACTGTTAGATATATACATTTTTTTAGTTCTGTTTGTAAGTTTAGGATACACGGTGTAAATCTAAGATTTATCAACAGAATACAATTTTTGTTTCTTTGTAAATCCAGGACTTACATGGTAAATCAAGAATTTACCATCATAATACATATTATGTTTATTCATAAATCTTAAATTTATGGTGTAAATCCAGGACTTACAAATAAAAAAAAAGCTATATGTTATTTTGGTGAATTATCGATTTACAATGTATGTGGCTAGAAAGTTACTTTAGTTAACAATTTTTTGGTGGGTCACTCCAACCATACTCTATAATTTTACTAAATAGATTATTTTAATATTTATTAAATTTAAATATAAATAATTTATTAAATTTACAAAAAAATCTTTACATTTATTATAGTTGCAAGGATAAAATAATACAAAAAATGAAATGACTAATTTCTTCATTTAACAAGTGTGGAAGACTTTTTCTAAATAACTAATCATTTAGTTAATGATTGGAACAGAGAAAAGCTAAAAAAAAAAAAAAAATTATTAGTCATTTAAACTAAAAATATGAAATATTTAGCACAATTGGAGTTGGTCTAACAGTAACTTCTTTAAATACTAATCGGTCCACAACTATTAATAAAGCTAAATGACGAAGGAAAAAAGAAAAGAAAGAATATATGTCTTTCTTTTTGAAGAAAGAAGACATGGAAGAAGAAAAACAAAAAGAAGGGAGAGAAAGGGATGAGAGAGATAGTAGGATTTCGGCAAAGAAGAAAAAAGAAAAGGTGAGAGAGAATAAAAAAGAAAAGGTGAGAGAGATGGTAGAGTTTCGGCTACGATTTTCGATTGAATAAAAACATATGGATATGATAGAAAAATCACAGCAAGATGCTGCGAAACTATTGTAAGATTCGCCTACGGCCCGAGATTTCTAGACGCGATTAGAGAGAGAGAGAGAGAGAGAGAGAGAGAGAGAGTCGAGAAGTAAAGAACGAGAGCAAGTGGGTAGAGAGAGCTAGCTGAAATAAATTTTTGGGTTTCATTTTCTTTTCTAATTAGGGGCATTTTCAGAATGTTAATTTATTATAAATCTAGATTTACACCCATCACGTCTATTTATTAAGTAATTATATATTATACTATTTTATTTTTATTGCCTTTTTAATCAGGTTATTTCTCTCAATTTCTCAATAAATAATGGCTTGTAGCAGTTTAGCTAAACCGATTGGACTTGATTTTCCAAATTAATATCTATTGTCATGTCATAGCTGTAAGACTTAAATAATCTTAATTATGCTGGTCGCTGACTTATTATGCTTTTATGTTTGATTTGCAGGCGTCAACACTGATTGACTTGCCATTTCATTGGGGCATTTTTTCATCAAGAAAAATAGTACACAGATTAAACATAGTATTTTCATGAGCTAGTGGTTAAACATCTGTTAAGATGATTTACGTTCGTGATTTGTTCACGTAAAACCTGCAGTGACACAAAATTCAATAACATAAACGTTAAACTATGCCTTTAAATTATATGTACTCAAGAGTTATAAATTTAATGCTGTGGCGTGTATCAGAATAGACGTACACGTATTCTTTGTTGTTCTTCTCCAACAATCTGTTCCTTGAAGTTTGCGGAATTTTTTGAAATATGACGGAAAAACCAACATTAAAAAGTCCCTAACAAATTGGAACTTTAAATTTTCTCACTAACCGGAAGGTTGAACCGCCAACGACATGGTGGTCCAATCTCTTAAATTTGCGATTAGATGTTATATATAAATATATATGTATATTTTGGCATATATATTGAAAGTTTCGTTGATCTTGACCAAAAGAAATAAAGATATATGCCTAAATGAAGCTCTACATTATTTGCATCCTAATAAGTCAAAAATACGGTTGGGAGTTTTGCTTCATTACATTGCA